TCTTGGAGAAACAAATCCCGCTGTGCTGGATCAGCTCCATGGACTAACTAAACCGGGATTCTGTCCTAGGAATCATCAGCACCAAGTATCTCTGGAAAAGTGCAAAATACAGATACCTCATCTCCAACCATAGGGACGTCAAGGGTCAAGGGAAACATTTACAATAAATACAGAAGAACTAGTCGGTCTGAAGTGACTACCATGAAAAAATAGTTCGACTTCATAAGCTTGGACAGATAATGCGGTTTTGATGATTGAGTTTTCATCTTTGTTAGTGTAATTTACTGGTCTCAGTCAGATCCCAGCAGGGAAGAGGAGGGCCAGCTTCAAAGGACAGTGATGGGCTTACTAAAAATACATGTAATCACATTAGGAATACCACTTTCTCCCAAGTAACATACAATGCAAAGCTTGACTGGCAGCTGCTGCTTGAACGGCCAGGATGGGAGCTGGGACATGGCATTTAGCACTGGATGGGGAGGGGAACTGATGGGGGTGAGAAGCATACGCAGGTATCCCTACTGACCTGGCCAGTGCTAATAATCATTGCCATTCATAAGCATAAGAGGAGTCAAGTATTCCCACCCCCAACACCCCACCATTTAAAAAGTATCTGACCTAATTATTACTATCCCTGTTGTGTAAATTCAGCACTTTGTCAGTTTGAATAAATGTACATTAGCCTTAACATGAGTTAAACAAGTTTAAACAATGTAGGAAGCTCTGTAAAGCTCCCTTGCTCTTTAACTTATTTGACACCACACTAAAGAACCCATTTAGACTAAAGAGTTCAGCACATTTTGGGACCCATTAAATACCCAGGCTGAGACTAGATATTCCCTTTTTCTTTTTTTAATTTGTCCTGCCTTCTTGCTAAAGTCAGCATAATTGAGCAATAAGCTGCTTTGCATTTCTTTAGCTTTGTAGGCAAGTTGGAGAAAGCTACACCCATCCCATTCCACACAGCCCTTTCCATGCTAATACAGACATCCCCACTTATCACTGCAAAGTGGATACTCAGTGATTCCTCAGAATTACTTTTAATTAAAAAAGAGGAAACTCATGGCATAAAAATGTGACATCCATTAGGAAAACTTACACTGTCAAATTGTTTCTATTTTAGGCTAACAACATACTTCTTCCCAAAGTCAAGTCAGCCTTTGACAGCCCACAGAAAAGCATTCCTTGTCTCCTATTTACAAATTACATTGTACCCTGATAGGGACACCTTCCATCCTCCAGACATAATAATTAACTCTTAAGAGATCCGCGTACAGTGGGGTGATAACTAACATGAGAGAAGGGAGAAAAAGACTGGGAGAGAAAGATCTATCCGAGGTCATGAAAAGAAGAAGGGAAGCAGCTTCTTACCAGTATCATGGGAGACTGAACATCTTGAACAAGCTGCCCAGAGAAGCTGTGGCTGCCCCACCCCTGGCAGTGCTCAAGGCCATGTTGGATGGGGCTTGGAGCAACCTGCCCTAGTGGAAGGTGCCCCTGACTGAGGCAGGGGATTGAACTGGATGAGCTTTAAGGTCCCTTCCAACCCAAGCCAGTCTGGGATTCTATGATACGTTCTCCACTGCAGATACAACTCTGCTCTTTAAAAACCGCCACACAGGGAGGAAAATAAATAAATCACACAGTGACAAGCTATGAGCCTGCCCTGACTCAAACTGCCACCAAATTCAGGACACAGCCTGGAAGACGGAGAATGTTCAGCTGGGTGAGGCAGCCTGTCTGGCTGCATAACAGCAGCAAATTAGCCCCAGAGAGCAAACAGGGCTGCAAAACCAGAGCATCCATCACCCAGATCATTCCCTGTTCCCTGCTCTCCTGATCATCACCAAGGAAAGCACTGTCTGATTTCTGTAGGCAGTGGATAAGGGGTGGCAAATGAGAATGAACAAAGGGAAAACCAGGTGGAAGAAGCAGTAGTGCAGCCTGACAGACAAATGCTCTACATGGGGAAGGGGTTGGTTTTCACCAACTCACACCCTTAACTTTTGAGAAAACCTGTTGGAGATATCACAAGTACCATGCAAGGGTTGAGTTCTGCTGGATGGGTTACAAAGAGCTGGTAGGGCAACATTTAAAAATGAGAATTTCATTTTCCTCAATGTCATAATGAAATCGGCTCTTCCTCCAAAAAAAGATCTGTGGTCAATCTGCAAATTGAATTCTGTCACTGACCTGTAAGAGATAGTTTAATCCACATGAAGTTAAATGCTTGACAAAACCACAGCTATGAAATTGTTAGCAGTACCTCCAGAGTAACTGCGCAGTTGGATGGATATTTAGATTTAAATCCTGGCTTACAGGCAGAATTCCCATCAGTTGCAGATGGATTAGGATTCCATCCCTCTTGCTCATTTTGAAAGTTGGTAAAGTTTAAAATGCAGAAAAAAAACGAACTCAATTATAACTTCTAGCTGTCAGGAAGGAATTATATCAGTTCCATCTTACAGAAGGAAATCTCTGCTGTCTAGCAGTAATCAGTTCCATATTTGTGAAGCCTTCCAACAAAACACTTTTTGTCTATGATTTGTATTCATCTTGGACACACTGATTTCAGACCCTCTGTGGATTGTGATGTATAAACAGCCCTTTTATTTTCAAATGCAACTAAGAAACTATTTGGCAGGGTCACTGCAGTTCTGAATCTGGAGCAAAATATACCAACTGCAACTGGCGTCTGGGCTGCGAAGCAAGCAAGACGAGACACTTAAAGACAATTGTGTTCGCTCAGTTCAGCTAAGAATAGGACATTAATAAGAAATATTTTAATGTTTTAAAGGGAATGTTAGGCTTTTTTTGGGTCAATTTCACAGGCATGTGATGATCTCATGACATGGACCTTGGAGACTGAAGCAGAGAGGTTCCGAGAGTCCAATAAAATCTCCCACCCATCTGAGCAAACGGCATGAATTTTCCCACTGTATGCCTCCCAAACTCTATTCCCATTAGAGAGAAGATAGTTCTATGATTACTTCTAAAACAAAATATAGTCAAGGGAAATAAAATTTCACATATACTTAAAGAACAAACTCTGTCCTTTGAAGCTCACTGTTTACTAACTACAGGTTTATCCTCAGGATGTCACAATTTCAGTCTTTCCAGAAAAGATACTCCATGTTGCTCTTCTTCAAAAGTCTTCCCGATGGCTGTTGGGGTACTCCTTTTTTGTCTGAAGGATTTTAGTCTAATTTTCTAGAGATTCAGGGCTTCTACACCCTCAGCTGTACCAGCAATGTTATAAAACATTGTTTAATTTCAACTAGTATTCTCAGATGTAACACCCTTGAAGACACTCTGGTTTTAGAGGTCTTATGGAAATAAATGGCTGGAGAGATGAGGCCTTCAACAACGTCCTTACAGAGGGACAGGCTGCAGAGCTCAGTGCTACCCACCAGCAGGCTGATCAGCACATACCTCCAGCCTAACTGCTAGTAAAAATACACTGGGCAGAGCTGATGGTACTAGAATATGGTGAGGTCAGGAGATGTGCAAAAAATGGAGGCTAGGGAGTGAAGGAGGGAAGTCACCCTCTACTGCAGTGTGCAGGAGCCAGGGAAGAGCAATCTGTCCCAAACCCACTTTTGTCAGCTCGAGAGTGTCCGGCATGCAAGGTTTAGTGCTTACTGTCCTCTGCAAAGGCAAAAAGCCATAGCATCAGCACCTCCATTCCTCTTTGCAGGTCAGCCCACGGTGCAGGAGAGCACAAGGTGGTTTGTCAAGCTGCGGGAGGGGACTGAGGCTGCTCCACCATGCCTGAGGCCACAGGTGCTGTGATGGATCACTGGGGACGAGGAGAAAGGTTTTGGATACCCCATGGAACAGCATGAATCTCACATCCAATTTAGTGAGTAGGGAACAAAACTGTAACACTGAACATGGATAGCAGGCTGACCTTGCTAAGTGTGAATGTGTGAATACCCCCACATTGTCAGATTGAAAGGTAATGAAATCAGAAGGACTGAATGCTCAGCAAGTGTGCAGGACAACAGGCAGCTCACAGGACTGTAACAGGATATATGGCTGCACAGTATACACCCAGCATTTGATTACCGGGCTATGTGAAGGAAGTTGTTCAATTTCATTCCAGTTCCCAGTGGGCAGGGTCCACATCACTCACACACACACACACACACACACACACACACACACACACAAATCCCCCTATTATACAACTGACACTAATTGGATCCTTTTTAAGCTCTTCTGTTCAGAAGGGAGGCCAAGGCTTGAACATCATGGAAACAGAATTAACTGTTCTGCGAACTCCCAGAACAGACACATGGATGCAATGCTGTGGGAGACTAATGTGGCATCTCAGAAAATATAGGTTTTAGATTCTAAGACTTCTGCAGTCTTCAACTTTCACCAACATTCAAATTCACCTATATTAAAAGAAAATTAAATTGCCCTCCCCCACAAAAAGCAAACCACAACAAAGCAAACATCCTCCAGCAAACTATTTGCTTGCATCTATTAAAACTTGCCAAGTCAACGTTCCAGTCTCAACTGCCTGGCTGAGCCTGCCAACAACAGAAGTGTCAGTTTTTTGCTCCTCTATTTTACATTAACAAAAGTCAATTGTGGCGATGAATTGCATTACATGCCAACAATATATCACATTCCTTCACAGCTGGTTTTTGTAAAGGGAAGGAAAAGACCTCAGTAGTCACTGACAACACTTCCATAAACCATAAACACTTTAAGAACTCCATCTGCAAATTCAGGATGGCAAACTCCCAAACAAAATCCTATCCAAGTGGCAGAGCACAAACTACCAGTTCCAGATAATAAACTCAAGTGTCTATGTGCAATCCATACATTAACCAAATTATGGTAGTCATGAACTTATTTTAATAGATGATCCAGTCAGATTGAAAGAAAGAAGTCACTATTATTTCCTGCCCCAATGAGCAGGAAAGCCTGTTCCCAAGTCGGCAGGCTGGACTTTGCCTAACACATTATCAAGAAAAGGGAAACAAAACTGCATATTATGTTGTGTTGTATTCTTTAGCAAAGTAATAGCTTGATCACAAGAATTAAGTTAATTCCTCTTAGGATTTACAACCGATTTAAACAGAAGAATAATGCATTCCTATAAAGCACTAATAGGACTTTAACATGTACTGTCAAAACAGAATTAGACTGCAAAAGAAGGCCTTACTACAGTATATCTTTTAGTGTAGTAATTTCATTATCTGTAACTAACAACTAATAAAGGTTAATAATGAAGTGGAAAAGAATACAGAACAAGGAGAACAAAGCTGATTATTAGACACGCATACAAACCATGGCTGAGTGCTTCCTGGAAGCTCAAGTAAACCTCAAACTGTTTGATGTGAGGTATATAGGCATTCCCATCGTCGGAAACCAAAACTGCTTACCACCATACAAATTCTGCAACAAGCCAATTTTTAATTATACTTATCAAAATAATAATAAAATCCTAGCAGTTTCATTCAACACACCTGAATCATGGAGACCACCTACACAACTGTAAACACAGCATTTGAACCTGCAATTCACTATTGCCAATTAGAAATGGGGACAGTTTTAAACATAAATTATGAGGATAATGAATCATTTTCATGCACAAGGTAACAATGTAACATCATGCAGCGGTTTTACAAGCCTCCTACTTTCTGCATTTCTATTCTGGTTAGTTTGTGCCAAGATTATAAAAGCGTATTTTAACAGAGGAAGAGAGGAAGGTGAAAGGGTTCCATCCCTCTCTCTGGTCATTTCATGTCGTTATTATTGGATTTAAATATTCAGCTGCTATGGAACTGCTATGGAACATTAACATTTTAAAAGAATTCCTGCCTTTGGAAAATAGCTAAGAATACAAGGGGCAAAGGAAAGCCCATAAAAAGTTATTCTGTTGTAGCACTGACCAAATAAGCACTTGTCTATCAGTTCAACTGACCATGAAGCATTATGGTCACACAACAAGAGCAAGTTTCATTTAAATCAACATCTCAGGGATCAAAAGTATAAATATAAAAGCAAAACTGAGCGAGTACTAAACCTAGCATCTTCCTGTAACAAGCAGTCGTTGCTTCCTGGTAAGAGCTTTATGTCAGAAATGTGTGCTACAGATGTGAAAGCAGCACATTTCAGTTGCCTGCAAAGTGCAAGAGAAACGTTTGCAAAAGCTAATCCAGCCTGGCACGGTTCCCTCCATCAGTCACCAGTGGATTTGATTCCCCTGACACTGGTGCCCACTTATTTCTCCCTAAAAAGCCAGTTGAGATCTGCCTGTTCCTGTTCTGTCACCACTCATTTCTCTCTCACCCTGTGCAAATGCTTGTATTTTCATGTAAGCTGCCAAATTCAAAATGGCAAATTGCTCCTCAGAGTTACACAGAACCTTACTGTTTCAGCAGAAAAATAAGGAAACTCATAAGTTTGTTCCATTGTATTCTGATCCTCTGAAAAAAGAAAGCTCACACCTGGTAATTCTAACTTTAAAACACACACCCAAAAAGAAAACCCTCAAAACCTTTCTGGGGAAACCCCAGAAAGCTATCGCAGGCTCATCTTTGTAGATAGCGATTTACAAGGGAATACTTGGTTATTAAAAACAGCCTACAACAACATGTACGAGAAGAATGCTGTACAAACAGTTTCATTATTATCCATTCATGTACTCCATCAAAAGGCAAATTACTTGAAAATACTTATAGAACCTTTAAGAAACATACTAGCTCTACCTAGTTAGCTGTCAGAAAGTTACAAAAAATGTGAATTTCTGTACTAATACATTGAAAACTATAATTGTAGTTGCAGCAAATATCAAATATGAGGCAGGAATTGTTTCCTGTGAGGGTGGCGAGGAACAGGCTGCCCAAAGTTGTTAAAGGCCTAGCTGGATGGGGCTTTGAGCAACCTGGTCTGCAGACAAAGAGGTTGCTGCCCGTGGCAGGCAGCTGGAACGGGATGATCTTTAAGGTCCCTTCCAACCCCAATCATTTCTTGATTCTACGATAACACAAGAGGACAGTAGGCAGATCCTCCTCCTCTCACTGTTACTACTGAGGACACTAGCTGCTGTGAGTAAGAATGACAGCATCCAACTGGGAGAAGAAAAATTTATGTGCGGATAATCCATTTTAGAATCAGGTCTGCTGATACAGCATGGGTTCTGGGGATCTATTTCTTACGTAATAGAAGCTGCAACTAATGCAAGTTTGCTAGTTATCCATAAGTTTATAAACAGTTTACAAACTGCATAAACCCAGATAGCATCAGATTACAACAAAAGTTCTGTATCAGTTATAGAAAAAGCCTTAGGGAAGAAAAGCAGTAATGAATGTTACATTCAGGCTCATCATTATTTCAGAAGCAGTATGCTGTGTGAGTAACCCAATTGGAACACTCTTCCTTTGAACGTTTTGCTGAGCTATGCGATGTAAAAATAGATTTGTATGCTTCAGACTTCTCACTGTCCGCAATGGATCTCTTCGTAGTAGTAGCAGAAGCCTTATTGACTTTTCCTGGGACAGATGAATTTCCATTATCTGACAGAGAAAAAGGAGTAGAATGAAGCAGGCTTAAAAGCTTACAACCAATAAAAGTATTTAAATAATGATGGAAAAAGGTATTAAAAAATAATGCGTGCAGAGATTAAGTATATACATTTTTCAGGGCGATTGCAAATATATCCCATAACCATAGTCAACACCAAGTACGTTCACAGCTTTTAGAATTTATACTCAAAATGCATTTAGAAATCTTGGAGAGGGAGGAATTCTTTCCTACTTGTGTAAATCCCTTGCACTGTAATGCAGTATTGACATTTATCCCTCTACATGAAAAATGGCTCTGAACTGTTGTCTTAAGAAACATGAAAGTATTCCACCACCCTGAAGTATTATTTAGAAATTAGCTATCAAATGACAAAAGCTAAACTTGTGACATACTGTCCCCAGGGAATCTTTCTCCTCCCTTTATTCTTTGCAGAGTCATTTATGACCAATAACAATGGCCTGCATAATTTCATATTTGGGATAGGAAAATGCCCATCCCTCTGTTTCTGATACAATCTCTCTCAGTGTATTACATCTATTGCTACACCCCCGCTCCCCCAGCCTCTTCTTAACAACTGTTAAATGTTTTCCAAAGTTGAAGGACTATTTTAAAAAGAACATGCCATCTCTTGCACAAAGAAGTGAATACATAAAAGTCTGCAGAAACTCAACATATTTACTTCAACTCTGGCAAAACAGCATGTAAAGAGCTAGTAGGGAGCCTGTCTGAAAACAGATTTATCTCCGACTTCTGCATGGAGTCAGAGGAATTGCATGCGCAATCCTGAATCATCATAGATCAGACCCTTTTTATTTTTGGAGAATGCTGCTTTTAATGTCACCAACAATTGTCTGGAAAGAATTACCAAATACTGGATCTGAAAGAATGAATATGCATGCTGCAAGTCCAGAAACCTTAGGGTGCCATGTTCACAAATTAATTCCTATGCTACTGGCATTCCTCAATTCACAGATCTTCCTTTATTTTCCCTTCTCTCCTCTTAACCTCTTGCTGGCCAATATAACTGCTGCCAGAAACATAAATTATTTACCTGACATTTCAAAAGGTGCATGTTTTCTTTTACACTCTTGGAAGACAAAGATACATAAACTATTATTAGAATTACTAGGTTTCTAAATATCCAAGAGCAATACTCTGGAATGCAATATTCTTAGAAGTCTATCCTTTATAAGAACTGACAGAAGGGAGCAGGTAAGGCATTTCTGATGGAAATTCTCCCAGCTGCTCACATAGTTTATTTACAGTTCATTGTTTAAATATTCTTAGTTTCTTCAAACTGAATTTTTCTGTGGCTGTTATGTACATAACTGAATACTCCACATGGAAAGCTCATATTGACTTTAAAAATGGACCCATTCCTATAGTTCTGAATGAAAACACTGGAGACATTAAATGACATAATTTCTGTAATATCATAGAGAGAGGGCACCATCCTCTGGACTACAGGACTGCAGAGTTTACTCATAGCTGCATGAGGTGCATAAGTACATCAGTACGTCCCAAAGTTACATTCCACTGCTAAAATGGAGGACTAAAGGTCAAGCTGTTAGCTTGGGACATTTTAATACACTTCACTGAAATAAACTACCATAACAGATTTCTCGACCACTTGTACTTTAGGAAAACTACCAATTCTCCTCACACTACCTCCTAGCTAATAAAACAGATATACCAAACCCTCGACTATATCACTGCGTAAGTAAGAATCTCTAATCTCATTTATTCAAGTTGGTTCCCACCAATTTAAAGCAATATTGGAATGGCATAGACAAGAAGATCTGGCTGGTTTCAGAGTGAAAAAATAAAAGATACACTGTGGTGAAAAGTATTTATTATTTTTATTAGTTATCTGCATCACTACAGCACTTGCCAGTCACAAGCACAAGCAGAGAACCTGTTGTTTTAGGACTATAGCAAGAAGTCAGTCCCTACTCTGTGAATTATTTACTCAGAGTATAGGATGGATGATAGACAGCAGCTGGGACAAAGGCAAACTGTGTAGAATACGGAAAACCAAACAGCAGCCATTATACACTTTCTGCAGAGTCAGTGTTGTAGATTTCACAGATTTTAAAGCAAAGCTCTAACAAAGACTTAAACTGAGTATAGTTTCTATTGAACAAGGAGATCTGTGCATGTTCACAAGGCAACTTCCTACTTCAGCTTGGAAAGGCACACTTTCAGGATAGACTTTTGAAAGAGGGGGTTCTTTGAAAAACTGAGCCATGACATCATGGCTGCCCTGAAGACAAGAAGTGAGTGGGTAGCTTCTCAAACCTATGGTACAAAATAGCCAGAGAAGGATCTCTCCTGCAGTGTTGTTTTTTTTTTTTTTTTCAAAACAGAACTATTTGTTTTCCCAGGTTTTTCAAACTTAGATTGAAGAAGAAACACCAACCTGAACTTTTGGTGAGGGTAACCTGCCTCTTTTCCCCAGAACTGGAACTGATACACTCCTTTCCATCCTTAGCCTTTGACGGACCTGGAGAATCTATGAAAGAAAAAAAAAAAAAGAAGGGATCATGAATCTGCTTCACAACTCAGAAGGCTACACAGAATTTGGAGCTGTGACTTTACCTTCAGTGGTACCTTGCTGAGAAGCTGATTCTGCTGACTTGGATTTCTTTGATTTCTGAAACAACACAAACAGAAATCTGGTAACGTACCCAAAGGATATACAATTCCAAACTTGTATTTGATAGACACACAACTTCAGGTGTTACATTTTTATGTCTTACACGTCAGAAATTTTCCTTCCACCATACTGATCCACACTTTTGCATTATTTCTATATGAAAAAATAATAACCTTGGGAACCTTGAAGTTACCTTAAAGAACATTCTGCAGGCCAAAACTAAACTGTCTGGATGCAGTATTTTGGTTTGTATGCTTTGCAGGGGAGGGTGTTATCATTAAGGTAATCTGATACTCTGAACCCACATGGCAGGACAGTAAATTGAATGACATTAAACAGAACAGTTAACTGGAAACAACAACATAAGAAGGACATGGAGCTGCTGGAACAAGTCCAGAGGAGGCCATGAGAATGATCAGGGGAGGAAGCACATCCCATATGAAGACAAGCTGAGAAAGATGGGGCTGTTCAGCCTTGAGAAGCTGCAAGGAGACCTCAGAGCAGCCTTCCAGTATCCGAAGGGGGCCTACAAGGATGCTGGGGAGAGACTCTGGAACTGTAGCAATAGGACAAGGGTGATGGGTTCAAACTGAAACAGGGGAAGTTCAGGTTAGATATATGGAAGAAGTTCTTTACTGTGAGGGTGCTGAGGCATTGGAACAGGTTGCCCACAAAGTGGTAAATGCTCCGTCCATGGCAGTGTCCAAGACCAGGTTGGGTGATATGGTCCAGTGTAAGGCATCCCTGGTTGTGGCAGGGGGGTTGGAACTACATGATCTTAAGGTCTTTTTCAACCCAAACCATTCTGTGATTCTATGATTTTTCAATTAAAAATAAAAACAAAACACAAAACCAGAATAATCCTGCATCTCATATCCACTTAATTTCATTTAGTTAACACAAAACCTCCTGCTGGTAACTTTCAGTAACTGGGGCCTTTGCTGCAGGACTACTTGGGAAGATGCAAATAGTTAATCTAAAATTTTTAAAAGCATCTGTGAACCAGATTTTCCAAGTTAATTTATATTTGTCCAGATTAAAGCACACAAAACCCCAAACAACAGCAACAAGAATCCCATTAATGGCTTTGATGACATAAATGCCAAGCTGAAAAAGATGTGTTAAAGCAGTCATTGGCACTGTTATTACAAAAGATGACTGTATACATTTGGAATGGTGTACATATGTCAAGAAAGCTGCACAAACTCAAAGAGAATAAATAAATTGAAATGTGTTATAAAAATTAGCAAAAGCCAAGCTGCCAAGAATATGGTTAATGCTTGAGGGAAAAAAAATGCTGTACCACACGTTGCTGCAAAGCTTAGCCAGAAGGTGGTGGCAGAGGGTTGCTATTCTAAAAAGCAAACTTTCATCTCCTGATCCTCCAGTGCACATGAAAAACCTCTTTTCAGGGTGCTTTACAAAGAAAAGTTACCTCCAGTAGCTGGCACCTGAATTATGAGATTTTAAACATATGTATGCATATATATTATATAGAAGTATATATACATTATAATATGACATAGTTGAGCTTGAATAAATTTTTACACTAGTGCAAGCTGTGCCTTCCTTATAATTTGTGTCATGGGTATGAATGAAAGGAGTTTGTACTTCATGCTCCAAATACAGCTGGTCCCCTTTCTCTCCTTGCCAAAAGGAACGGAGGAAGACACCTGAACAGCAGTGCCAACAGACCCAAAACTAGAAACTGTCTTCCAATATCAGGACTGCAGCTCACAGATCTTGGATTAAAGTGAATAGTGCCAGTGACAGCAGAGAAGACTGGTTCTAGCTGCAAAAACATCAGCTTGTGCAGCAAGGAAGGCAGAACTGCAAAAAAACCTTGAAAACTTGAGGATGAAATGCAAGACACCTGCTGAGAGATTTGCAAATACTGTACCTGCCTGTACTGTAAGCCTCCACTAAGCAAACACAAAATATTTGCATATTCAGCCAAGGTATATTCAGGCCAAAGCATGATTTCCTTTTGTCTGCCACCATAAGCGACCATGCCAACACTGTAAAAGACAACTGGACACCACACTTAGGTGGTACTTCTTTGTTGTGTGTAAGCTTTGTTCCAGCTTTCAGACTATTCCAATTTACTTGAACCAAAGCTATCATTGCTTTGTCAGGGCTACCTTCCTAATGAAAATTGAGCACAACTAACCACTGCTTTTGGGGCTGATTACTCATCTACTCAGATCTCCAATATTCTATCATCAAATTATCTGTAAAATTCTTTAAAACATTTAATTATAAAGTACTGGGAATAAAAACCCCACAAACATCTGAAGAGACAGCACGAGATTTACAGTACTGCTTTTATGCAAAAAGCTATAGGATACTAAATGCAGAGGCTATAAACACAGAGGAAAAAGAATAGCAGAACTTGTATGGGTAACCATTCTTTTGTTGCATTGCCCAGGCCCAATGATGGTGTATTGATGTATAAAGACCCCATGACAAGAAGGAATTATGTGCTCATAGGAAATTAAACAAGTATTTGTCTCAAAACAATCCAGGAAAACATTTGTATGCCATCTAATCCTACAGGCAGGCAAAATTAAGTGCAGTAATAGGGATGAGATGATCGACCTCCACCTAAAGTCTCTGTGGCTGAAAGTGTCAGATTCATGCTCTTGAGAGTCAACCAAATATGCCTGCACTCTGGATTGAGTCAACACTGACTTTTTGCTTGCTCTGTCATCCTCCAGAGCAGCAATGCCAGTTCAGAACAACACAAAAATGTTGAAAGAAGTCCCTTATGCAGAACTTTCATTTGACAGTACTGTACCACAAAACAACTACTACTTCACAGAGTAGTACACTGTGCATTGAGTAGATCAGCAACTTTATTTACATGGCATTTTGCCTCATCAGATTGAAACCAAAAATAAATGCAAAGACCTCGACACTGTGGCAGGAAGTAGCATCACCAGTAATCACCCAGGACTGTAAGAACCACAAAGTATGTAAAAATTTCCCAGCAGTGGTCTTACAGAATCAGACCAGGAATCTACATACCCCAGTATTGTTTCTGACATTGGCCTCAGAGGATACTTTGAGAGCAAACAACTAATAACCTGCCATCAGGTTAAGATTTTGCTCATTACTAGAGTTAACTAATACAATCTCTATTCGTTTCAAGAAAGACCTTTCAAGAAAGACCTGAAGCATAGCTGGCATTGAATTCTGTGATCTTCATAGCACTACACACCGCTCGCTATTCAAGACAGTTTCAGTACATACAACTTCAATAAGCTATTAGCAAAATATGCTCACAATCCCATTACTTTAAAAAGTAGCACTGATACAACACAGCTGACTGAGTAAATCCTTCCATCTGCACAAAGGTTAGCAAAACTATGCAATCTAAGAGCAGACCGCATTACCGGCAAGAATTGTTTCAATTTTGTTTTAAACAACATATAAAAATATTACCTTTTCTAATTTACTTTTAAGTCTTCTATCCTCCATTCTTTTCTTCAATACTTCCACATCTTCTTTATTGCCATTAAGGATAATCACATCTTCCTCTTGAAAGGGAACACCACACTTAAAGGAAAAAAAAATGGACAAAACCAGTATTACTTTTAAGGTCTGTATGCTGGCTGACCTTTGCTAGAATTAATACTGTGCTTAAGCTCTCCAAGGAGATCTCCAGCCCTTCCACTTGCCGCTGTGTCTTTTCCAATAGTTCTGTTTTAATACAGTCTAACACATCTTCTCACTTAAAACGTCAAAGGGAAAATCTCAGTTGATTTTACCACAGAGCAAAATAATACCAATTGGCAGCATTCCTTCTTGAAAAGTAGAATAAATACTCATCTTACTAGTGAATCATGACCTTTTGATAACCAATTTAAAAGCAGCTCACATATCAATCTGCACAGAAAACTCTATAAGAAAAATATATAGGAAAATATTTTGTTCTTGTCCAAAGCCTGTACCATTAGTAACAAAAATTGCAAATTATTTCATTATGAGTACCAACACTTTTAATTATTATTATTTTTTTTTAAAGGAAAGGTCCCATTGTGTATTTTCCATCCGTGGGTTCCTTGTCTTACTAGCATGAAATGTACAGTGACTAGATTAAACAAAGTACTCCTATCTACAATCTACTCAATTTTCTGAACCCCATAGGTAAAACCAAAACACTAAATTACTTTGAAATATTGTTTTAGTTATGAATGCATTTCATAAAGACCTAAGTGTTATGCCGTGAATTTGTCTTTCAACACAAGGAGTAACATCTGACAGGAGCAGTTTCTTTATATTGACTAGGAACAATGACAAAGGTGTTATTCCTCTGCATTGACTAGGAACAATGACAAAGGTGTTATTCCTCTGCATTGACTAGGAACAATGACAAAGGTGTTATTCCTCTGCATTGACTAGGAACAATGACAAAGGTGTTATTCCTCTGCATGTCGAGCAGACAGCATGAGGGAATTTTTCTCCCCAACACTAGACAGCAAAACCTGGTTTGTTTGGACTTTTTTTCTATTTAAAAGATTATTTTTTAAATGACTCTGGGGATGAAAAGGGGTCGTAAAAGCAGCATTATTCATTAACCCAGCCTTGCTACCTCACTGTCAGTCATCTGATCTATTAGACTCTGCCAAGTTTCAAAGTATATTTGTAATTAATCTGGATAATGCATGTAATGTGGTTCATGTAATTCCCCATTTGCTTTATGATTGAAGACACAAATGTTTCACTGTGCACATTTTTGATCAGTTGGCGAAGTCAGTACATTGACTATAACATTTTCTAAGATCTCAATTTCTTTTTCCTTTTTTTTTTTTTGTTATTTTGTTAAATCCAGAAGCTTTCTGTTAATGTGGAAGATCAGTTAATAACCCCACCTCTGTCACTACTCTTCTGTTTTCTAAACAAAGGTTTGCAGTAGGAATTAAACAAATGAAAGGACACAGGGACAGTGCTTTGACTGCAGTCTGCGGTGATGAACACATTTATTTAAATGTATTTAAATATGTATTTAATTTTAAATATGGATTTTAAAATGTATTTAAATTTGTTTCAAAATGAATCTGAACACAAGTGGTCAGTTTTGCAAATTTAGAAAGATTGCTCCTTCAGGTTAAAGTCTTCTGGGGTGTATGTCTGATATCACAGGGTCTCCCTTGCTGTACCTTGTTTATATTGGGACATTAACTACATAGGAAGGTACCTGCTGTAGTTCCTTTATATTTTTGTAGCACTTTAATAGAAGATATTTCTAAATGAGACTGAACTTGGAGACTACTCAGGAATGGACAAAAGCATTAGACCAGCAGCTTGCAGATCTGAATGCAAGATTCGGTCTGTAATTGAATAAGAGTGGGATGTTATCTGAAGGAGATGCTGAACAAGCAGCAAGGATTTTGTCTAAAAGGCCTTCCAGAGTCCAATTATAAAAGTGCATTCAAAATTGCTTATATCTAAATGGCTTAACATGCTCGCATCACGGAATTAAAGGCTGTTCAAATATGATCAAGAAGTCTCCGAAGTCTGACAGTCATAAATTTACATACCCTACATATCCCATGTGTATACACATACACACACACACATACACACACACACACACAATATCAACTTTAAAGAAAACAAACCCAAAAACCAGAAAACAACCCAAAGGCGTAAACTTATAAGATTCAAGGTATTACGAGCTGTAAAGGAGATATTAATTTTGACATAAATCTAATCTTTTAAACTAGTAAAAGAGATAGCTAAATTACTTTTTCAAATAATGAAGACCTAAATTTCAAGTCATTTTAATCTGGTAGGATAGTTTCTTACCTTTCTCAGAGAATAAAACACATGATTTTTGTTAGTAATAATGAAATCTTAGTTTAAAATGATTTCCTGAATTCTAAAGTTTACATTTGTCTCTTAAATTTCAGCTACATAAGACAATAACTGTACTTCATTTTTTGAGGCCAACTACTTTTGACAGTGAATTTAGGAGTTTTTTGGTACAGCATCTAAGATATAGCTCCACCCATGACTACTCCAGTCATTACAAATTGACTTACAAATAAGCAGGCAAGTATCTTTGTATATCTAGATGTTTACAGTAGTACAATATTTGACAAACACAATTTTCGACATTGCCACCCTACTCAGACATACAATGGGTCAAAGACTAAATGATAACTTGGGAGAAGTGGAAAGTCTCCTACATACTAATTCACAGAACACAAACTTTCATGCAGCAGTTGTAGCATCTCCTACAAAACCACTGTCCAAGCAGAAGCCTCTATTCACAGAGCTTCCCCGAGAGTCAATGATAATGTTGTAACTGCCACACCTGCAGCTGTGCCTTAATTTACTTCAAGGTTTTTCTCTCTATTTCTGACCAACATGCTATTTTTATCAGAACATGTCCAAAATACACCAGCCTTCTTACTTGCTTCCAAAACCCCAAACCTTCCAATTCCAGCAAATTTCAGATGCTAACTTTTCACTTATTAAGAGCCTTTCACTTACTAAAAATCTTTATAAAAGTAGTATTATTCTGTTTCAGAATGAGGCATTTCATTTATCTTTTAAGCTTCCAACTACTAGAAATGACCAGAGGCATTTCTTTGCTATATTTATTTGCTGCAAATTGGAAAGTTTCAGCAAGCAAACAGTTAAGAACTCGGGGGAGGAGGAGAGGGCTGTTTCTTTCCCAGTTCTCATCAGCCAGCATGCTCGGTTAGCAGTGCAGAGGTTAAAGCCTCTGAGGTAAGGCAATACTATTTATAATCATCAGCAATGTATTCTACATATTTGAAAGTCTGATTTCGGTCCTTTAAAGGCTGTCTGAGAAAGAGTGGCAACAGAATTTAGAGAAGCTAAAGTTTTCACTCATTACTGTGAAGCAGAGGAAATTTCTGAAGCCAAACAGCATTACTGCAGAATAAATATGCTAAGCATTGCGGGAAGCCAGATGAAGCCCTAAATGAAAACATTCCCGTTAATGTTTAACCCCTTTCACTTACACCAGATCCCCACACAAGCGACAGAATGAAGAACACCGTCTGAATTCTGCTGAAGGACAATGGGACTCTCCATTTATTTTTATGATGCTGCCGTCTCCTGGCTAATTTCATACAAGGTAAGACTGGATAAATAAGATTGCAGGGCTTCAGATTTCTACTATTCCTCTATTAAAACACATTTTTATTTTTGTAAATCAAATATTTTCACTTCAGAAATATTTAATTATTATATTTATAGAAATATTTAATTATTTCACTTAAAATACTCAACTGTGCCATAAGGTTAATACTTCATTTCTTTTTTACTTTGTCATAGAGGTAGTGTATGATGGAGGTCATTACTATTGGTGTCGTTTGCATTATAAAAATCACAGTACTTAGGAATACTTGTTATGCTCTGTTCAACTTCATTTTTATACCCTCTAACTCAAGGGTTTAAATAGCTTTCATAGTACTTGTTTGGAACTGTTATAAAGTCAAATACACAATGAAAACAAAAAACAATGACAGGAAAAAGCTCTATAAATCTGTTGAGTATATACCAGTAAACACCAATACACTATTTTTAAGGAAGAATAATGTTACATTTCTAAGGCAGGGTTAATTAGGTTTGATGAAGAAATTTTGTTTTACTTGATACATCACAACACAGAAGCAGGCTCAGCACACTTCCCCAGGCTGAAGCAAAAATGCAAAGTAAAAAGCAGTTAAAAGCGCTGACTTTTAACATTTAGATTTTAAAGGACCAAATTAGTATTCACCTCTTCATAAAATGTTTATACTAATGCCTGTATAAACCCCTTTCAGACAAAAAACAGACATAAAATATTTGGGAAGGAGCAGTTAATACCTTTTAGCCATTTTTTAAAAAAATGATGTATTCCTAAATTGTTTGGTTCACTGAATTATGAAGCTTTAAGAACTACAATTTAAACTAAGCTTTAATATTAAGCAAATACAAAGCTTACATTTTAATCTAAGCTTTAATATTAAGCAAATACAAAGAGTACAGGCAAAATAGAGTATTTAGAGGTGAAATAATCCAGCCCAAAACACTGGGGCAGGAAGGAACTGCAAAATGTAAAATGATTTGCTACTGTGAACTGCGGAGCAAAGTACACAGCTAATGGGGTCTGGATTAACTGAGATATTTCACAGGCTTCTTTTCAGGCATAAACGTAATTCTACTTTTCTCCAGTTTACCTATTTAATTGAGGTGGAAGAGCTTAGCCTAACAACAATTTTCTGTTAAGTAATATCCATAACAGCAATCACAAAGTTGCTTGAAAATCCCTACAGTGTCAGCCACTACCTCAGCACTTCTAAAAATTAAGACAACTTCACCCTCCAGATTTAGAAAATGTCTGTAACATAGAAAAGGTTGAGTTTCAAATGCATTCTGATAACAATAAATACCTATAATGGCACTCTTGCATAATAAAATTTAAAAGGCAAGATATCACAGACTGGATTATGTCTGGACAGTGGATCTGCTCAACAGTATGACACCTTGCTCTCCAAGGGCAGGAAGAAATACAGAAATACAGTAGTGTAGTCCTT